TCGATAGTGGAGTCATGAAAAGAAAGCTTTTTTTTTCAGACCGCTGTCGGATGAGGAATTGGATGCACTGTTCCCACCGGGCTATAAAATATTGCCACCACCGAGCGGTTACATACCACTACGTACACCGGGTCGCAAATTACTGGCGACGCCTACTCCACTGGGAGCAACTGGAACACCAATGGGTTTCATGATGCAAGGAACGCCAGAAAGACCCGGCTTGGCTGACAAAGGTTTCTGTGTTTCACGTGTTTATTACGTATAGTTAAACATGCAAATGTGCCGAAGCATTCTGTGAGGATTTTAGATATCCTTGATTTCTGATAGAGTTTCATTGAACATGGGATGAATAGTACGGACCAGCATTTATCTCGCAAGTGTTCTACTTTTTCTCAATTGCAGGAGTTGCGGGTTTGATTGACACACAACCAAAAAATACGGAATTGCCGCCGCTAAAACCAGAAGATATCCAATATTTCGATAAACTTCTGATGGAAGTGGACGAGAGCACGCTGAGCAAAGAAGAACTTGCGGAACGTGAAATCATGACATATCTTTTGAAAATCAAAAACGGAACACCACCGCAACGCAAATCGGGGCTTCGTAAAATCACCGAGAACGCAAGACGTTTTGGAGCGGGTGCACTTTTCAATCAGATCTTACCGCTTTTAATGTCACCAACCCTGGAGGACCAAGAGAGACATCTTATGGTGAAGGTGAGCAACTTCAAGAATCATGTGGCGTGCGCAAACAGTTTTCTGGGTCAGCTTATGCACGGTCTTTGCAGGTGATCGATCGAGTGCTCTACAAATTGGATGACCTCGTTCGACCCTATGTCCACAAAATATTGGTTGTGATCGAGCCGCTGCTCATTGATGAGGATTACTATGCTCGAGTGGAGGGCCGAGAAATCATCTCAAATCTTGCTAAAGCTGCTGGTAACCTTTCTGCACATTCTGCTTTGTCCACAAATTTTTTATGCGTTTTTGAGAATATCCCTGCAAAGTTTCAGCCTTCTACATTGTCTGGTTCGCGAAATCGTTTCCCGCCAATAAATTCCTTTGGGGGTCTCGTGCGCGGGGTTTAG